TTTATTCATTTAAGATGATAATATCAGATTTGTTGAATGGATCAATTATATAAACCGGATGCATATAAGATATGCGCACAAAGATCAAAAAGTCACTTATTTACCATATAACATTACTGTCCTTATTCATATAGCCTTTAGAACATCCGTAAAGTCTCGTAGGTACGAATGTAGATAACCACGAAGTAGTATACTTGCCAAGTGATTTGTTACTCTTTGGAATATTAAATGTTTTCTACTAAGCTTACATTTTTTCATGGTTTGGATTGCGTGAATTTCATTTCGATGTTGTAACGGGATTATCGTTGGATCGGAATATTAAGTAACATCGGTTTCCGTCACACAAATTATATGCATGCCAAATTTAACAACGTACGATTCGATACATACTGAATAGATAGACGCACAGACAAGCTTTCGCATAACATACAGTGTTATACTTCGTAGTTGATCCTTGAAATATATGCATATATGAATGTAAATACTAAAGAATTATAAGTTAAACGTTATGTTTATACTTTGTGATTTGAATTAATGACGAAAGAAAAACCAGTGATGTTACTCATTGAGATATGAACATATTACGCTATTAAAATTCAAGACATGTAATTTAGGTGGCGTATAAAACTAAACTTCTTCTGGTCTAAAAATAACAGAAAAAATATATTGACTGTATAGACTTTAACGCTTGATGATATGGTTCTTCCATTTTGGCATTTCGTATTCCGACAATCATAGCCATAGACACTATATTCATAGAGGACGGATCCCGCTAACTTTCTATCTTTAATATTTCTTACTAGCGTTAGTAATATGACATAATTATTAATTTGTACGGAACTAATGTGAATTTTCTATCTTTAATAAGGAAAACCACAGATAGACTAAACGGATTCATCCATAGTGTTTTCTTCTACTATTCTTGGTATCTCTTCGAATAAAAAGACGCCAGCATGTGTAATTATATTTTTTTTCTGACTCAATAAGCTTTTTACGTGCCTGTGTTTAATCTGTGGTACTACATATAATGATTTTATTATACTTATAACGACAATAATATATATAAATTTTAATGAAATACAATATGTGCAAATTGCATATAGTATGATTCATAATTTCAAATGATGTGGGTGGGTTTTGCGAGTCCTCTACCGAAGTTGTTTTTGTGCCAAGGGCGATATAAGCAGTTAATCAAATATTGAAGCTTTGTTTTGATGGTATTCGTTTATGAGAGTGTTAAACGTTTGTTATTGTGATGTCAAATGATTTGGCTTAATCGTTTAATGATTATTTTTTTGTTTGTTGGCTTTAGGATGCCTTTGTTTTTAACTCCATTAAATGCTTTATATTATTCATTGATTACACTCGTCTATGTATAGTAGTAGTAGTAATATAACATATCTATACATATAATAAAATTGTAAGTAAGCCGAATCTGTACATTAAATATTTTTTGGAAGATCTTATTAAAATAGACATTATTATCGATACAGAGGCCGAATATATAGTTTTTAGAATTTTTGTCTGTCTGTCTGTGACCGCATCACGGAAAAACCACTGGAGCGATTTTGATGAAATTTAGTTTGATGATAGCTGGTTATCCGGATCAACATATAGTATACTTTTTACTGCGAGAAAATATCTCATCTCTGAGAAATCTATACTATACGTTAAATCGCAAGTAGGGACGTACACGAGCGGTGCGAGGGTCAGTTGCTAGTTATTATATTATTTGTATATAATAGTAGGTATAATATCGATATTTAGCAAAAAATAGAAATAACTATAGCTGAATAGAATATACTTTTGACCTTTTAAAGTAAGTTTTCAATATATTTTTTTATGATAGCAGAGCTTAATATTAATACGAGTTTATACGAAAATAATAATATTGTTTTAAGTTTTTTGTAGCTTTTTTGTAGATTAAGGATTTATGTATCCGTTTAAGAGGACTTGGTACTTTAGTGTTGATTTTAAAGAATTTTATTGATTTATTATTATAATTTTTTTAAAACGACAAAGTCCCAGTATCCGGGTGTTCGATGATGCTTGACGTCGGATCATCTATTCGTTCTTATATATCCAATGCAAACATATTGTTATAAGGTCAAGTAAAATTTATTTTTATTATTATTTTTACTGCCGTTTCGATTTGATACAGCGATTACGGTGAATGATAAATATTGTAAATAAACATTTATTGATTTTTTGTTTCCTGTTGATTTTGTATAATACTCGTATATAAACAGATAGCAGGTGTGTTATGTACTATGTATAAAAAATTAATCAATGTTACTATAATGTACATATACTTTTCAAATTTTTGTTTAGATAAAGCATTTATTACGTTTTGTATTTTTTGTTTATATTATTTTTTGTTCCACTTTGATACAGGTTATTTGTAAGGCTTCAAAGATCCTGTCCAAGTAGCATAGAGTTTCAATATTAACTAATTTAACATAACTAATCGTGACAAAGTACAAATTAAACTCATAATCGCGTACAAATCTGACATTAGGCAGGCTATAAAATAGACACGGATATAGCGTAATCTAATTTGCAACGATACTATAAATATAGTATATATTATAGTACTATAATTCAAACAATAATATATTATTATACTAAACGCAGAGAATGAAGAGTAAGTAAAAGAGTTATGCAGACATCTTATACCGCTTGGTACAGTCAATTCTATTGCTATTCAAATGTATCTGTATTATTTATTGTATTCAGCCCTTTTAACGTCCCACTGCTGGGCACGGGCCTCCCTTCAACACGAGGGGGATCAGGCCAAAGTCCACCACGCTGGCCAATTGCGAGTTGGCGGACTTCACGTCTTTTGAAAACTCGCTAGTTTCTCTCAGACATGCAGGTTTCCTCACGATGTTTTTCTTTACCGTATTATTTATTATGTTTTTTTTTCTGTAGTTATATTGCCACATTTTCCATGTAAAAAGATGCGACACCTATTGTCTTATTAATCCTCGTAACTAACTACACTCTATGCAAATGGCTACGGAAAATTTTAGTATCAAGGATATAATGTTGTTGTTATAGAATAGCTATTTATGTTATTTCAAAAACTCTGTCGCTATCATTAATGTAAACACACTCGTTACGGAAATTTTTAGAACATTTGGCATGTATTCATTGTTCATACTGGAACTAAAATATATTTATGGAGGTGGGCGTTGGCGACTACAACACAGTTTTTACTAAAGTGGTCACTATAGTACATAATTTAAATTGTAAATGTTCTTTCATGTTCCAATAAAGATTTTTTTATTCTAGCGAGTTACTCTTGCTTCACTCGTGTATATCCATAGGTATCTAACAGTGGCCTAAATTTTTATTAGCATTAAATACATTAATAATATTCTATACAATTTTAAGTTCCAGTAATACTTTTGCCAAAATTTGTTGTTTTTTATAATATTCTTTAGTTATATTAAAAACTAGGGACTCAAATTTCATTTAAATCAGTTCAGTAGATCCATTGATTACCCCCTACAACGTCACAAACTCACAAACTCTATCTCTTTGTAATATTAGTATAGATTTCATATATTTTTATACTCTATTATTATTATTAAACTTTAGTTTTTAGTTTTGATGATCATATTAAAATCAGATATTTTACGAGTATAATAATATAAATCTTAGAGACGGGAAAACCACGAGATTTTTTATCAAGTATTGTAGTTAAATATAACTGACTACTTAATGTAAATTATAAATATTTTCTATTTATCCTTAAGAGATTAGTTAGGTAGACATTTGTCATCGGTATTGATTTTAAAAACCAAAAATGTAGTGAATTACGCAGGTGTCTTTAAAAGGGACTGCACAGTTTCACTTAAGAATGAGTCGCATTCCTTAACATATTACTATATTATTTAATTTTAAATTAAATATTTGTGGTCGAGCGGGGATTTTATCATAGGAAATTTTATAGTTTCTAAAAAATGTTGTTGCAAATATAATATTTTCTCGATTGAGTTTAATATCTGTTACATGCTTGTTTCGACGCGATGTTACTTTTTTCTATGATGAATTTAATTTAAGATCAGTAGGTAAAAATTATTTACTATTAAATATGATATTATGAGTAAATAAATGAAGTACTTTTTCATTTAATATATGCAATATTCCGTTATATTTTCCTCGTATATGGTAATTGGGAAACATGTAATTATATTAATTGTACCTTCTCATCACTCACATCCGGGCTTTCATGGTTCCCTGCCTCACAATGACAGTCATTTATCACTTAAGATACATAAATTACTCAGCGATGGGCATTATTGAAAAACTCCACTTGGACTTATGGCAATGAGTCAGTTTAAAATTCAACTAGTGTCTAAGTAAATGCTGATGTTTGAATTGTCTCTCGCATCATTTGTCATTACTTAGCTATGCTATGACGTTTCTATTAAAATCCTTTTAGGCTCACAATGATGTCATTGTGGTTTGCGGGTATTCAAATATTTGTATCCATAATTGCAAATCTCTCGTGTCGTCACGAATTCAAATCAACGTTACGTCGAGTTATGTGGATGTTGAAATTCGGCAGCGGCGAAAATTATTTATCCCCCCCCCCCCCTTCCCCCCCCCCCCCCCCCCCCCCTTTATTTTTAATAATTTCTCATGAAAGTTACAATAAATCATATCTATATCTATATTTAATAATCGAATGATTGTTATTTGCAAAAAAATTATTATGATAATAAAATTGATTTCAAGGTATAACTATAGCAAATAATTTGTAGATCTATCCTATATTGATTATCAAATGTAGATTTAAAAAACGTAACAAAATGGTCGTGTATTCGATTCGATTCCAGAAAAATCTCTTGTTTATTTAAATTAGATGTTATTGTTTCATTATTTTACTATGCACATACACACACACGTAGGTAAAGCCTACGTCACGCCTACGTTACAAGTTATTAATTCATCCAGATGAGCCACTGTTGATGCGAGGCACGCGGCGCCTACGCGGGCGCGTCATCGTAGCAACCTTTGGGCATTCTGCCTGTATTCGTCACAATAAACTCGTGTGGGTTTTCCGAAGCAGTGTTTACGCCGCTCTGGTCATACATACCTATATCTGGATCATAATTGACTGCAAATATATTAAGTATTGCTCATTAATGGATAATTGTAATATATTATGGTCTATATTAGGTAATCTAGTCATAAGTGCTTTAAAACGTGTATTAGACCTTATTTTTGCATTAAAGTATGATGAAAATATTAGGTACTTTTTATCACGTTAAAACATTATATTCACGTCAGTACGATCTATTGATGTTAGGCCATAAAATGTGCTGCACATAACCGTTAGATAGCAATAAAACAAGTGTTTGCATGCAAATCGCTAAACTTAAATGCTATGTGAAAAGCTTAAGACAGCTTTTGTTTATTTATGAGTACTAATCACATGCTACATCGAGGCTATGACCGGCAGTGAAGTTTCCTAGATACATACATACTCATTGCTCGTATATTGGAACCGAATTTACGAATTAGAAAGTTCAAATTTGAAAAATAACTGGTCTTATGACTTTATGACATGTAATTCATATAATATACAGACAAAAATGTATACCTACAAATAACTAAATAAAATATCTTTTTAAATATTTTAAATAAAACTATCTTTAAATAAAAATATCATTTTTTTCATTTTTTTATTAGATAGGTATATTTTGATCGTGCTATACAAAACGTATAGAGTGATGCTCTTCTGTTATATAATTAATAATTCCAAACACATAAAATTGTGTACTGCAAATAGATTTATCACTACTTTTGCGTATATAATTATAATATAAGTATCTTATAGCTAAGCTAAGCTTAGACTACGCGGCTATACTTAACTTGTTTTTAACTTTGTTTACGTAATATTCAGTTCATCGTTAAATCTTGTATTGAAATAAAATATTAAAATAACATGTATAGAGAACTCAAAAAGGTTTGTAAAGTTATTGTGTACGCTTATTTGATTATTAGGTGCTAATTATATAGCTGGGTTCATAACCGCATATCGCGTCTCATGAACTGTGGCGAAACTTACGACTACACATACGAGTCACTTCCACACACGTACCGAGTATATTGAGTGCTTGATATGAATCACTGATAAACCGAACTTATTAGAAGTTAAAGAATGACATAAATTCATTTTAGTCTCAATGGACTCACTACCAGATTGTTATTACAGGGTGTCCCAAGTACGATTTGGATAGAATTTAGTACACAGGTATGACCAAGGAATATGTCTTAATAAAAAAGTTTGTTTTCGGTAATAGAAGTTAGACGAACGCATATATAATTAATAAATAAGATCACCGTTCGGCACGTTTCGTCCTATAAACATAACACTAATATATTAATTACAAAATTACATAATCCGTATTATTAATATTGTAAATGTGAAAGTTTGTGAGTATGTATGGATGATTGTTACTCTTTCACGCCAGAACGGCTGAACGGATCTGGATGAAATTTGGCACAGAGATAGATTATAGTCTGGAATAACATATAGGCTACTTTTTATTCCGGAATAATTTACGGTTCTTGTGGAATAGGTTTGTTTTAGTTTTCCCAGAGGTGAACACGAGCGAAGCGAGGGATAGCCGCTAGTATATACAAATATAAAAAATATTATAATTGCATAATGTATTAAAATTTCTTAGAGCTTTAAGTCATGTCATTAGGAATAGGATAAAATTTAGATATTATAGATAGATACAAACACGTTTTTTTTGTTAAATTTAGTTCTTAGTAAAACAATACACATTACACATACCTATAATAAAATAGTAACTTAAGAAATCGACCAGCGCGTTTTACGCAATTACTGAACCGATTTTAACAAAATTTTGTATAGTGATAACTTATTACTCGGGTCAACATTTAGGATAACTTTTACTACATGAGAATCTTTCATTCCCACGGGAAAACACAATATCTGGTTCTACCGAGTCGTTCTTAGAAATTTACATGTCTAACGCTGGCTAAACCTTAACGGATACATCAAAAACAAAGTACTAGAAAATTGTAGGTCTTCTATAGGTGAAAAATCTGCAATAGCATAAATCTCTCTCCTAACTATTAATTACTATTCATATCTATTTAAAATGTATATAGGGACGCACCCGAGCGAATCAAGGGTAAGTTAGTAGTATTATATAATTTTTTTATAATGTATACATACATTATATATATGTGATAATGATCTTTGATGTACCTATTTATTTAGTCATAACGATGCTGTCATTATTTAATAACTAATTTAACGATCGTCCAGCAACTGGTATTGCGCAGCGAATTCTATTTGTTTTCAACTTATTTAGATGACACAATAGAATAACCACTTTGATACGTCGGAATGTTGAATTTGGAAATGTTGTATTATTTTAAAGCTACTTTACTGATTGGGTTCCAGATTCTATCATATATAAGCGCTACGTTGTAGTCACTTATCATTTTTTTTTTAATTTAGTTAAAATCGGTTCAGTACTTTTTGCGTGAAACGCGCATCGATTTCACTGAGTTACTGTTTTATCATATGGATAGATATACGAGTACAAGAATAACTAATTACTAGTATTAAGGTCAATTACTTTTCACTCTATTTATCAAACCTTTAATCGATTGGCAAATGAATAGTCACGACACATAGATAGGTACTTATAGGACTCCATATCCTGTATTGAAGTCTCTAATCGACTGACCACATTGCATAAATCCGGTGGCAATCGTGACTGTGCCAAGTTTGTTTTTGTTTCGCGAGGAACAGAAATTTACGATTTCTTACCTTATACTTCTGCAAGTGTGCATGTGACCTGATTTTCATAATGCAAATGATTCAAGCTCAAACTATGTCGGCTCTAACGCACCCTTATTTTACTACTTTAATCATTTTTATTCATTCTGTAAAAAAATCATATAAGAATCTAATGATACTCAGTGCTTACATATATTAGGCGACCCCAATCGACCCCAATGGTCGCAGTGACCGCATTTCTATGATGGTCGTACGGTTCTTAGTATGGGGTATAACATAATCTAAATAGATGGTCGCGTGGTTGTGGTCGTGGTCGCCTAGGGGGTGGATAAGGTTATTAACTCTTCCAAAGACTAATCTTACGGGAATCACTACCGGATTAATAAGTGTCATTTGACACTTCACCTTAGTGAGTAATATCTAAGGAAAAATTATGCCGATACGTTTCCGTGTGTAAGCAACAAAAACTATTTTTTTTTGTCAAGAATTTGTTACTACTTTATTTTTTTTTATGAATAAAACGTTTTATTAAATTAACTAGCGACTCATCCTCGCTTCGCTCGGGTTCGTCCTAGGGTTCCTAGCTTGATTCCCCATACAAACTTTCATCCCCATTTTCACCCCCTTAAGGGATGATTTCCGGTATAAAAAGTATCCTATGTCCTTCTCAGGGTCTCAAACTATCTTCTTACCACATTTGATCTAAATCGGTCCAGTAGATCCAGAGATTACCCCGTACAATGTCACAAACTCACAAACTTTACCTCTTTATAATATTAAGTATAGATTTATGTTTTATCTACACTAGGTAATCTACATTAATATTATAAAAAGGTAGTTTGTAAATTCTGAAAATACTGATACCTACTATTTTCAAAATTCTTTCACTGGAGGTAACATAAAAAGTTATGTTACCGCCAAGTGCTGTATTTGCTGTTTTTTTGTTCCGATAAAAAAGTGTTAACGCTCACAAATCAAAAATAATAATAATTGAAGTGGAGGAAAAAACTGGCCATTAAGTTGATTTATCAGTGTGCGACGCCTAAACGTTTAAATACCTAGAGATGCGAGGGTAAGTCAATAGTATAAAATATTTTTAACATAACATTAACTCACTTATAATCATTCAAAGCACAAACTGCATGACTTTCTTCCTTTCTTTTGACTGTTTTCTAAATGTTTGGTTGACCGCCAAATATAACAAACAAACACGAAAGTTACAACATTCGTGGAAATATTCCTCACCGAGATGTTATGAAATTGTACAAAATATATTGAAAATTTTAAGTTAAATCAATTATATGTATTTGCAAATAGTTTAATAAATATGTATTTGAAAATAGTTTTCCTTTCTGTGATTTTTTAATTTAGTTGCTAAGGAATTTAGGATTGTGCTAATACGGGCACAAATTCAGAATTGGGGACTTGGCCCCTAGCGGAGTGGGTGGTATTGCTGGATAAGGGACGTGATAGGGACTCGAAATGTTAAATAAATTTTTTAATACAACAAAAGATTCAAAAGTTATTGAGACTTAAAGTTACAACATTTCCATACATTTTCATATATTTCTTTACCACCATTCGGAGTGGGTGGTATTTTTAGATAGGGGAGGTGACAGAGAGTCAAAATATATTAAAAATATTTGGAGGAAACGTACGACTAAAAAGTTATTGAGACTTAAAGTTATAACATATCTAACACATTTCCATACATTTCTTTACCTAAATAAGTGATTACAACAGATAAACATACCTTTAACGAATAGTACGCATCCTTTTTTATGTACATTACACATTTTCACAACAATTAATGCTTTATTGTATTTAATATTTTAATAATTTCACAACACAAACAAAATGATCTTACATTTTGACAAAAGCAAAACTGACACTTTGTTTTATATTACCGCTTAAATGACAACAGATTATATTTGATTATTTTTGCTTTTTCTGTTGGTAAAATATTACTATTAATAAATAAATAAATAAAAAGAAAAATATTATTTTCACTTTATTAATACATTTATGACTTTTTATTTGATTTATGTAAAATATATTGTTTTACAATTGTACATTTAGTAAAAAAAATCATTTTTTTATCTGTGAATATTTTTAATTATTTATTTATTATTCGTCATATCTGGGTTAGGTTAGGTTAGAACATTTAAGATTATATATTTATTATTCGTCATATCTGGGTTAGGTTAGGTTAGAACATTTAAGATTATTTATTTATTATTCCTCATATCTGGGTTAGGTTAGGTTAGAACCCCCCCAACGTGCGTTCACCTAGTCGTGGTGGGGGGGCTCAGTAGTGCCCGGCAACCCAACCGGGCGCGAAGCTAAGAAACGCACAGGGAGGTTGCCCACTTCGGTGGGCGGTGGGAGGTGGCCCTCATCGGGGGGCGGTGTACCATGCGGGTTGCTCCTGGTACTTCTCTGATAGCAGAGTGGACTGTGGAGCAACCCCATGGTTGTGGTGGTCTGCTTCGGCAGACCTGCCGTCGGGGCGTCGTAGTTGAATGCGTAAGCGATCCTGCGACGCCCCATTAAGACGGGGGAAGGTTTTGTTGGGTTTTAGTGGGTAGTACTGGCTGTATTACGTCGGTGAGTCCCACACGTCGTGCGTAAATGCATTTCCCAACGTTAAAAAAAAAAAAAAAGGTTAGAACATTTAAGATTATTTATTTATTATTCCTCATATCTGGGTTAGGTTAGGTTAGAACATTTAAGATTATTTATTTATTATTCCTCATATCTGGGTTAGGTTAGGTTAGAACATTTAAGATTATTTATTAATTATTCGTCATATCTTGGTTAGGTTAGGTTAGAACAGTTGCCACAAATGACTAGAAAACTAGAAAATTCGAATTTCACGCAAAGTACAAATAAAGACAATCATCTGGAGATCATTTTGACAATTGAAAGTGACGTTTTGACTCCAAGTGTCTAAATGGTAGTAATGTCAAAATAATGTATGGAAATGTTATAACTTTAAGTCTCAATAACTTTTGACTCTTTTGTTGTATTAAAAAATTTATTTAACATTTCGACTCTCTATCACGTCCCTTATCCAGAAATACCACCCACTCCGCTAGGGGCCAAGTCCCCAATTCTAAATCGCCGCCCTAATACGTTTCAAATATTAAAATAATTGTGGTGTAAATATTTATTGTGAGTGAATTCATGGATATGGATACTTTTTAAATAAAACTATCTTTTCGGTATTTTTCGCAGATTTATTTGGATTTTGGTTCCCGACATTTCGAATGTTTGTTTCAAAACGTCGGGAACCAAAAATCCAAATAAATACGCGAAAAAATCCGAAAAGATAGTTTTATTTAAAATGTCAAATATTCGCGTAAATCTAAGAAAGTATCATGGATACTTTTTAATTTTTATTACTGTTGTAATGTTTAAGAAAAATAGTAATATTATCGATTATAGAAATTACACTTGTATGAGCATTTATCTATATAATTAAAAAAAAATTGTATCATAAAACGTGTGAAAGATTTTCGCTTATAGCACGTTTCCGTAGTAACTTTTATTTCTAACATAACATTGCAAATATTTTACTAATGAGTATGCTTAAATTTTGGCTTTGTATTGTAATTGGCACGTACGATGCTTCAATGTCAATGCATAACTGTTTACTAGTATTCTTCTTTGTAAACACAAAACTGTATGTAGGTATATAAATGCGCTATGGGAATGAGGTCGCTTAGCATTTTTTAACAAATGCTACGTGAATATTGTCCAAATTAGCAATAAAAATTTGTACGAGTACTATATAGAATTTATTTGTCATAGGAAAGTTAGTTGAGATGAATTGTGACTCAGGACTGAAGGTATACGTGTTGCAACAATAGATTTGCTAGCGAGCTTATAGTAAACTAGTAACTCATCCTCGCTTCGCTCGGGTTTGTCCCCAGCTTGATTCCCCATACAAACTTTCATCCCCATTTTCACTCCCTTAATGGATGATTTCCGGGATAAAAAGTTGGTTATTTGAACATAATGTACAACATAAACATATTACTTACTAGCAACTCACCCTCACTTCGCTCAAGTTCGTCCCTAGGTTGATGCCCTATACAAACTTTCATCCCATAAAAAGTGTCGCTATGTCCTTCCGAGGATCGCAAACTATCTTCTTACTAAATTTCATCTGAATCGGTTCAGTAAATCCAGAGATTACCCCCTACAACGTCACAAACTCACAAACTTTACCTCTTTATAATATTAGTATACATAAAAATTATACTTATGTTGACAAAATAGAATAGAAATAAATTTCTTTATATCTTATGGAACAACCAGGTCGGAAAATTAACGCGAATATCTCTTATTAACTCAGTAACATTTATGTTTAAATTGAAAATTGGTTCGCAATAAATAACCACCGAGATTGCTCATTATTTTATAAAACGAAAGTAAAACAAATTAGTTAAAGGAAAGGACACTTTCCCTACTCATAAAGTAGGTGAGCTATATTTATCTTGAACAGCTTTCTTAGAAACCTGTTTAAAAAACCTGAAGAGCCTCGAATAAACAACAAATAATCATTTTGAAGATACAAAGAAATATCGAGTCATAAGTAGAATTTCTTTTTTGAAAGTAACTGTTCACCCATCTTATTAAACAAATTATTGCTTTAAAATTATTGTTTATACTGACTTACCTTCACGTCACTGGGGTGCGTCCCTAAGTGTTTAAAGCCTTTACAGGTATACATGTATTGAATTTCATCCAAATCTGTCTAATCCTTTCAGCATCAAGGAGTAATAAACATATACAACCTCTCTCATTATAATAATATTCCAATGTACTAAGATATTCACCCTATATTTTAAATTATATATCAAAATTATGTTGTTTGGCTTAGTAGGTAAGAGTATGTCTCATTTAATTATTACGTTAAGAATTAACATAAGCTCACAAAAGCCATTATAGTAATCGAGTCATTTGTCATACACGAGGTATCATTACGTCGTATCACAGTATCTCGATATGGCTGTATCGATTACCATGATGATTCAATCGGTGATGGCATACCTACGCCAAAACAATAGTGCACTTAATCTAAATACATATTTATGTATTAATTAGGCACACTTTAATGGTTAGTATACATTTCTCAGAGATTAGATATTTTCCCGCAGTATAAAGTCGCGAATAACCAGCTATCATCATATCAAATTTCATCAAAATCTAACCAGTTGTTTTCTCGTGATGCTTTCTTAGACCGACAGACTGACAAAGATTTTAGAAATTAGATTCTATCTCTATGTCGATACTATTTGAATGAGATTTTCTAAAAAAATATTTAATATACAGATTCAACTCAGTTACACTTTATTATATGTTAGAAGATAACATTTACCATACTTGTAGATTACAGTTAGAACAATAATTATATGTACTTATCTACTTATCTTTGTAACTTTAATATGTAGGTATTCCGTTTCCTTAAAATATAGTTTGTTTTATATAATAATAATATATAAACTTGAATAAGCGAAACAGTCAACTAGTGTTTACTTCGACAATTCTAAGAAATCAAAATAATACTTCCGAAAATAAGCTGGTTTCCAAAGAAAATATAGATATATGGTTTGAAATTAAGTATATTGAGTTTATTTATATATATAACAAAAATCCAATATCAATCTTTTTAGTAAAAATAGGTCTTATACAGTCTAGAGATTACAGATATTATGTTTTTATTATATTTCTTTGGTTAAAGAATGCGACAATGTAATCGCGGAAACGTTGGTTTATTATTGCTATATCTAAAATATCTATTGCGATATTGGGTGCGGCGAGAAAGCTTGTTTTGTCGGAACATTCTGTAAAGACACCGTTGCATTCGCCCTTGACTGAAGAAAGTTTATATTTTCTTATGAGTGATTGCTCTACTTAATATACATTATTGCACAGCTAATATATTTATAACTACTTAGCCTTTGTCCGCGGTTCTGCTTGGGGAGTTTAGGTACTTGTGTTTTATTTTGATTGTTGCCCTCTCAGCTTTTTATCGATATTTTTCCTCTCTGCGTTTAGTATAATATACTATCCTAGTTCAAATTACAGGGACTTCCTTTAATCGACATGAATTTGCCATTAGTTACGATGAATTGCTTTAAAATATTTTTAGTAACATTGTTAAGTTTATTCTTCTTCACAGAATCAAAACTTCATTAAAAATATAAGATTAGAGTTTTTATGAGAATCGTTTTTTAATTTGGTTATTTGAACATAATGTACAACATAAACATATTACTTACTAGCAACTCACCCTCGCTTAGCTCAGGTTCGTCCCTAGGTTGATGCCCTATACAAATTTTCATCCCATAAAAAGTATCCTATGTCCTTCCCAGGATCTCAAACTATCTTCTTACAAAATTTCATCTAAATCGGTTCAGTAGATCCAGAGATTAACCCATACAAAGTCATAAACTCACAAACTTTACCTCTTTATAATATTAATATATGTAGACATGATATTACTCTGTATTTTCAATTAATTGTTACGTGTTTTCTACGCTGTTACGAGTTGTTTATATTTTTACTACAAAATTATTTATATTTTAATTTTAACTATAAATATTTGTCGTAATAATAAAATTATATTACACTGTAAGGTATTTATTAAGGTAACTGCCATGCTATTTTATAAACATTCCATTTGAATATATCACTATATTAATATTTCCGTTGAACCTATGAGCTCAAGACATTTAACGCTACGTCTGAGTCATACTCACATACACTTTCAAATTAACAATTGTTTATTCCAAGGTTTGTTATATAAAAAGGTCAACATAAACTATAATTATGTCAATACGGAAGTGACCGGAAGGTACGGATCTAACGAGCGGAAGTAACATTATTATTGTTATGTTTTGACAGATATAAAATGAGTAGTTCAATCCAATATTGTTGACAAATATTAATATCGTGCAAAGTAATGCACAATATGATAGTTAAATGTTTATTTGCTTACCTCCTCCTACGACATTTTCTTTATATATTTTTTGAGCTATTTTTCGAGTGTTGCGCCTTAAGCAAGTGTTAATGGAGATAATATTTTGACCAATCTTGTATTACATTCTAAGCATCGCTTAAACACAGAAAAAAATCATCCCTCGTGTATTCTCCATTCCATGTTATGTGCTTATTTAGCACTTGGTGAAGCCATTAACAAGGAAATTGAATTGAAAATATATCAATAAAACCTCTCTTTACAATTGACTTACTTATATATTATACAGGTATATTATTTTGAATTTAGTATTTTATTAAAATAATAGCATGACCGTGTAGCATTTCTTATACCTTTCTGATATTTGATTATAGATATTCTTAAATAACTCAATAAGTATCATAACCATTAGCTTCGTATCTGATTCATTATTATAATAGTGAATACCATTGATTTTCGGCAGGTGGTCCGCTTTCGTAACTATTGGGCTTATCATTAATCTCGTTATTTCATTTTATGATGCTATACTCGATAAAAGTGTGACGTAGCATAATTATACAAAAACTATCGACTCACGATCGCTTCGCTCGCGTTCCTCCGTTTAGGTACGATTTCACGTTTAGTATAGAATAAACTAAACGTGAAATCGTACTATATATATATCCCTTAGTTGAGAAATGATTTCTCATAGAAACTTTCATCGCCCTTTCACTTCCTTAAGGGATGATAACCATAAATTATTATATATACCGGGATAAAAACTATTCCAACTACCTCCATACCACATATCATCGAAATCTGTTCAGCGGATTAAGCGTGAAAAGGTAACAGACAGACGGACAGACAGAGTTACTTTTGCATTAATAATATTAGTATGGATAGTATTTGCTTCTTTCCTTTATCTCGCTACTTATTTTAGAGTACGCTACAGTTTTAACCAAATGTCAAGAGTAAATTTTTATTAGTAATGAAATTTGTTACTGATGAAACTGAGCTTTTATTGACCCGCTCTCGCATTGACATTTACAGCTGGTAGGTATGTCCTTCAGATACTTTTTAAAAGATATCATGAACTATTTTTATAATTGCTATAGACCTTGTTAGTGGTAATACTTGACTCGACTTGGCGGGGGCACTGCCGTGCCACCCGATTTTTAATAAAAGAAAATGGACCTAAGTTATTCTATACTAAAACCTGTTAAAACGCACGAGTGAGAGTATCGTTATATCGATTAAGGCGATCTGAGGAGATTCTTTTTACCTTCAATAAAAAACCTATGACATTAGGACTTTATGCGTCAGTTGAGATCCTGTCAGTTGTGTTTGTCAATTTTTTGGGCAATACGTAAAAGCTATCGTGGATACATTTCACCTTTATTTATAAACCGATTACCAGCGTCCCTAACATACTATTCTTAAAGTTTATAATATTAATAATTATAATTAATACTTATTTTCGCAAAATGTTCGTAAATTATAATAACTTAATAAACTTCCTAGGAAATCTCTCCTCAAATTGTTGAAGACAGTATGAAAATCCGTACAGTAGTTTCTAAAAACCCGGACCAACACAAACTCAGCACGGCGGATTATATATAATTACATGTAGATATCTTCCCTACGGTAATATTCTTATAAATAATGATATTGATGTCATTAGACACTGAGAAGTGATACATTTATTTAAAAAAAGAGACCAGTCGTGTTTAATTCTACGAATGATCAAAAAAAGCTTTTACACACGTGCCCCAGATATGCAACATGCATCCATCTTACGCAACGAGCACGTCCGCGCGTTTGACGCGGCCTTTATCAGCAAATTGATGACTTACATTGCCCGGATCACGCTCGATTGATTGCAACATGGGCACGCGCCGATACAAATTAATTATTCTGGCTCCACCTGTTAGCCTTTAGCGATGAGCTTAAATGTTATTAATGATGTCATAACAGAATCATATATTATAACTGTATATATATACTAGTATATTATATAATCGATTTGTTTACACTTCCAAAAATTCTTTTGTCTTTATAAAATTTCTTTATTATTAATTGAATATATTCATAATCCCACGTCTCACGTCGGGTTACTCTAAATTGCCAATTCGCGAAGTAAACGGAAACCTGATAGAACCTGAACTCGTTTGGTCTAGTTTCGAATCTTGCGACATCAGGGCGTTGTCAGGGCTAGCATTGTATATGAAATGATTGGAGTGCGCGTGTTTTATAATTTTCGAACGGCGCTCGGTGGTTGGGCTTTGTACTTATTTAGTATTTTAGAACGCTGCCTGCGAAGGCTTGATTTCACAATAGCTGCCTGCACCTGTTGCTTAAAATGTACCTGAGCTTAAAACGTCTAGACAACAATGGACTTTTTCAGAGCTTTTAAGTTTTGTTAAAGATTTTGGCTATGTTAGTGTATGAATGCTTAGATTATTTTTACCCGAATGCGCGACGCAAAGGAGGGTAATGTGTTTATCAGCATTATGTATGTATGTTTGTACCTTTGTGGCACTATTTAGATGAAACGCGTGGGTCGATTTTGATAAATGACACGTCGTTTGATTCGTCATGACGGCACAAATGTCATGAAAGGAATAAAATTTGGAAAAATCAAAATGGCCGATTTTGGATGCGATAATGTAATAAAGAAAAAAATGAAAAATTGACGAACTATGTCAAGTGGAGTATCGATGAATAGGTATTTAAGAATCATTTTTAGGTTTCTTTAATCATTTTACATTTTAAATAACAGTTTAGGATATTATATAATGATTTGAAGTTGGTTAACAACCATTCTTGCTAATTTTTCTACTTAAAAAATATTAAAAAATAAAAATATACACAACTTATATGTTTAAAAGTAATATAGGATAAAAAATTTGCTAAATATAACTTCAAATGTCTAATTGGCAAGAACTAAAAAGCTGTACCACGTTTCGTCCTTGCCGTGAGATGTACATACTCGTATGTACATATGTCTCCGACTGCATAATACTATTATATTCCTTAGTGAACGTGTTTTCACATTTTGAGTTATTTTTCATGCAGAATTAGATAATCAAAACTGTATAATTGAATTGGCCAATGGTTATTACTTAAGTTATCTAACGTATTTCTAATATGCGTTAAGATACTTTGCGCATTTATTTATTTAATTATTAATTTTTGGGAAACAAACAGTGAGATAATTCTTAAAAATAATTACAAACTAAAACATCCACACACCAGCAAAGTTTCCACCTATAAATATGTCACAGGTAGAATAAACATGATAATTAGTTAAACATTAAAACAATAAAATAAAATTTTAACAAAAGTTACTGCAAAATAAAAACATTATAAAATCTAGGCAAATTCACTTGATGTTACATTCACTATTTGGGGAAGCGATTTTAGCCAATGAATTGATATTATAGTAATAGTTATTATTGTGTAAAATACCAAAATATTTAAATACCTAGTTTGTTCCAAAGTAGTTGGATAAAATGATAGAGTCCGTATTAAATATTTAAACGAGTATTCTTATTTACTTTAGAACCCACGACCTTAGAAGAGGAAAGATATGAATATAAATTAATAATAAATGTAGTACCTTCTTATTGTTTATTAATTTGCATTTAATAATTTACAGTGAATGCTTTAATATTTTTTGTACGTTGGTTTAAAATGTGACCCTTACGGTCGAGACGGGGCGCTGGCATGCGCCAGGGCCACGATTGCATTAATTTTGCGAAACCGGTGAATTAGAGCAGCAATTTGTGTGTGCGACGTGTCCTAGGCTGAAGGCACAATGCGCCTTACGTAACCGCGTCCGCTTTTATTAATAAGCCTTATTAATCTATACCAGTGTTCGCCCAGTGGTGGAAATTCGACTTTAATCAGTTTTTTATTGATAACACTAAAGCTTGTCAACAGCTACTAAAACAGGAAAATCGGTTGACAAAACTGAAAAGAAATAGGTACCTACTGTTTTGGTTTTGCCTATTTATATATAGATATTAGATTATATTTATAACCCACACATTAAAATATATAAAGTCCATATTATCTTGATCTTTTAATTGAATTAATCTTTATTTGGTCTAAAAATAAATATAAGTAAATTTTACTGTGTCGCAATTACTTACACTTACTAATTAGTAATTACAATATAATATAAATATTTCAGGGAAATGAAGATCGGGAGTGATTTAAAAATATTATTTACAAAATATATACATATATTTTCATTGCAAAAAATTAAATCATTTTATATTTTAGCTTCCGGTAATTATTAACTATTGTATAGGATATTGCGAAAACATCTAATTTTTATAATTATATAAATTCTTTAAAAATAATTATTATAAATCAAAAAGTGGATTATGCTCTTTTTCTTTTTATGCTAAATTAAAAAATTGTTATACTAGCCGCAAGGTAATGTCTTACTGTTCACGTATTTTTTGACTTTCAGCCTAATCTCAGAATAGGTTTTGTTTCTGTACGAATATTTTATTTACTGTTTACTAATTGAAAGATGGATTATGTAGGAAGGTTATTGGCTACGGCTATAATTTATGTACATTTTGCATTTAAAAAATTGTGTGTGTGCTATATTATGTACGCACGTAAGAAGTTATAACTTCTCTATCATAACAGAACCAAAATAGCTAAAGATTTCTACCCGTATATCACAACTCTTTGTATATAAAAGGAATGATAAATTAATAAAATAATTAAATAATGCATATTAGGCATATTACAATCATATATTTATAGAATATCATTTAAGGAAAGAATATAATATTATATATCATTTGTCAGTCAATAACAACTGTTACCATGGCAACAAACATTTATCAGCTAACTTCATCATGTTGCATTTTGGCTGTCGGTGTGCGCGCGCATCGTAAAAATTTTACTCTCAATTTTTTTTCTAAACGTCCCAAAAGAAGTATAACTTCAAAAATACGAGTATGATAATATTTATGAATTAAGTCAGAACGTCTCTTCTGGAGACATACCTGAGCGGAGATAGGGTAAGCCTCTAGTATGTTATTTTAAATTGCAATGAAGTTTTACATCACTTGATCTGCACTCTATTGAAATGAAAAATTTGCATTTACAGGCTCGACGATGTTCCTTATCGGTTTATTACTAAATAATTTATTGATTTTAACTTTAACAGTGAATTCTCCTCGAAACATCAATTATTATTATTATGTTGCCCATTGCCCATTTATATCATTCATCTATAGCTGTTACCTTCTTGCAGTCAATCTATAGCTGCGCTAAAGGCAAGAGTTTAAAAATACAAGCTTCTACCCATAGATAGATATATAAACAGACCGGATGCAATGCAAATTTGCAGGTGCGCAGCAATTGTAGCTTTATTACCTACTTGAATCTTGTTCCTAGGGCAGGTGCCCTAGATATATTACTAGGTAGGACTGACGAATTCACCAATGCGACCAAATGGAATAGCACTTATAAGATACGGCTGTTATTGTTGCATAATATTATGAGACCAATTTGAGCTTTTCATTCAAGGTCGGTCACATAATTCTGTTGCAATAAATGGCGTGTTTTATTACTTTGAAACACTAATCTTATTTTTGAAGTGAAAACTTCTATGGGCAGTTTAGATGGGGAGTAACTTCATGTAAGTCGTCATCGACATGGTCACGTGACGTGTTAACGCTAACACTCGAGAGTGCCGATAGATGTCAAAAACCGGATAAATGTAAACAGTTTTAATTTAAAATTTTAATTTAAGATCAAACAAATAATTTGAATATCCAAAAATAACAACTGTTTGTTTATAGTTTTAAGTTTTCACTTCTGTCGGCACTCCTCATGACTGCTTTTCTCTTTTAATTTACAAAACTTATTTATCTGTGTTTATTACGTGATTTTTGTGTTGATACTTTTTTGTTAAACATTTAAAATAAATTAGATGAGTTGCCCTTTAATCTATATTTTATTAGATATTCGTTTAGTTAGTCCATTCCAAAGGACTAACAAAACTTGAAAACCTCAACCACGTTTCCACCTCTCTAATTAAATTACATATCGTTTGATAAACGTGACTGAAATCGATTCGTGAACAATGGTATACTCAGCTCATACAGTTTCAACAGCAATAATCGTAGGCACGTCTACAAGTACATAGTTATAGGATATAAGCATAGATTTAACAATGTTAGTGGCATTTATGAAACAGCTATATTTACAAAGATCAGCAGAAAGGGCCGTATACATGTATGATGTATATATGTATATATGTATGTAATACGGGTGTTATGTTATAACGTTATATTGTTAAACCTAAAAGGGTTGTGATTATATTGCACTATACTGTATTAATATTAACAAAAAAATACAAGCACACGCTTTAGTCTTATATACCAACTGAAAGCTAGACACTACGCAAAATCATAAAATAATAATGTATTAAAACATATAATTTAAAATTGTTATTAATTCGAAGCTGTACATTATCGAACATATAGTTAATTAATATATCGCTTGCAATTGTATTCTTAGGAATGCTTAGGATGTAATTACCTATGAATAATTTTGCTTTGTCTTTTTTTTATGTTCATCCGCGCTTTTTTATTTTATTGGGGCTTGTTTAATTTATATATGCATTTAGGTAACCCGCGCGAATATATAATAAAATAAAACGTCGTGGTAGATCAGCCCACATTATATAGTAGTGTATGTATATTTATGTTATTGTAAACAATATTTCTCAGTGGAAAATTAAAAAAATGCTGTACATAATCTAGCCATCCGCTAGGACTAGTTAATAATTTAGCATTTTACATGAAACTATCTTTTTATAATTTAACTTTATTTTTTTATACCTGACGTTTTAACAGCTTTACAGCAAATATGTTCTTATGAAAGACTTAGGTTTTTGCGTCTCTCCAGTTATAGCTATGATAGATATTTATTATTTATCAAATAAGTCTTATTACACATATGACAGAGACTGTTTAGGCAAAATATTTTTTTGCAAATTAGTTTATATGTACATACATAATAAATATGTTGGGACATAGACACACAGCACCATCTAGTTCCATGATAAGTAACGAGGCTTGTGTTATGGATACCAGATAGTTGATACACTACACATGAATAACTTTAAATACATACATATTATGAATATAAACACCCATGACTAGAGTACAAACATTCGTGTTCATCACACAAATGAATGCCCCCAGCGGGACTCGAACACGCGACGGCTAGCACGGCAAGTACACTACAAACAGAGCCAAACGTGTCGTCAAAAATAATATGTAAGTTTACAACCTATAGTTTAAATAAGTTCTTAATAATAATAAAAAGTACCGACTCTAGTATTACTATTAGAGTAGTAGTTATTTATTGCCTATATCGAACTAATCCAAAATTGTCAAAATATTGGCTCTACCACGATGGTCAGTGACCTTAATGAAATCCAATGATCTATTGTGCTTGCAAAACACCAACGTCGTGCTAAATGGCGGCGTGCGCTTGCGCAGCATTGTTTGTGTCTTGATATATGTAGGTGTTAAATCGATTATGATAATTAAAAAAAAACACTTTTTAAATATTTACCTGTTCATGTGTAAAAAATTGTAGTATTTTATTTTTCAATAATATTTATGTAAAAATAATAACGCGTTATGTAAATTCTGTGTATGAAAAATACATAGAAATCTAAAATCTAATTTGTTTTAGGATGCAGTGGCGAGACTTATTTTATGAAATTTATTTCAAAATCAATTTCACGTATAAACATTTAATTTCATACAAAAACAAAATCACGATTCAGTACCTATTTTCAGTACCTATTTTATTTTTATTAGTATGATGTAAAAATAATATCGCGTCATGTTAATAATTGTGTCGTATCTAAAATATATAGAAGTCTGAAATTTAATTTGCTTTATCAAATCAGTTGCACGACTAATTTTTTTACTTCAAAATCAATTTCATGTATAAATCTCCAATTTCGTTATGCCTGTATTTTATTGCAAGGCAATTTTCTGATAAAGGTAAATAAATGTCACGCTAGAAAAATCTTATTTCGTAAAACTAGTTTTGTAATGTTACTTCGGTTTTATACATCAATTAATGATTATGTACATCATCATAACAAAACCGTGGCCTCGTGTGACAGTCAAGTCACGACTTCAATAGCTCCACTTCAATCGCAGCCGACCTACCGGATCTGATGTCACCTTTGCTTCGCGTCTCCGAAATACAACTTCGACTATGGCGGCCGGATGCTCTTAGAATTAAACGTGCAATAACTTAAGTCTTAAATTAATCAATGTTTATTATAAATTAACACATAAACAAATCTTACAAAAATCATTCAATAATTTTTTATATAATTTGAAGCCACGTACTTGAAGTAGTATTTTATTTAGGTAATCTGCACTACGACATATTAAAGTTTCCAAATTTTAAGTGTTATAAATAAATAATAAATAATGCAAATATAGATGAAGAGTTTATTTACAAAACAGTTTTTATTTGTTTATTTAATACAAACATAGGTATATTTTCACATTACACATGTTAGATAATTAACACAAATTGATCATTATTCATTACATACAGAAGTAGGTCGGTTGCCATCTAAATTACGAGAACCTCTACCATAGATAGGTACCAATATGTCCTAAAATAAAAGAAACAAATACATAGATCACGTTAATATAAAAAAAAACTAAGCAAGCCA